GCCTTCCCTCCGCCGTAACCCGGGGTGCTCGCAGGCCTGTTTGCTCCCTGCGGCCTGGCCTGGCCTGCCAGCCGCTTGCCGGAGCCGGGAAGCCCTGCGCTGGGCTCACGCTGTGTGGGAAGCCGTGCCCGCTGCCTGGTGCAAGGGAGAGCTGCTGCGTAACGCTGCGTTTGTTTTCCATAGGTGCTTACCGATGAATTCCAAGACTGCCAAAGATAAAATTATTGGTAAGTGGGGCTTAAAGCCGGGTAGGTCCAGACCCGAGAGCGATCTCGAGAAGCGTGAGCAGAACGCAGCCGTGAGAAAATCACTGGAGGAGGTCGTGAAAGGGAAAAGCAAAGTGACTGATCCCGAAAGGAACGGGCTCTTAGAGGTGAGGTGGATGCTTGTACTGAGCTAACATTTGTGATGTCCGAATCGTGCGCAGTTAACACGAGTCTGAGTGTGTCTGACTTTGTGAGCAAGGTGCCAATCTCTTCTCTTGAAACTTTGTTTACTCGATGTCACGAGTGTTTTAGTTTGATGGTTTTGATCTCAAATATTTTTAACGATGACTGAGCTAATCAAATTACAATCATCTGACAAGGCTGTTAAATACAACGACTTGAGGCAAGAGGTGCCAATTAGTCCATTAAGACCTGTCCTCACCTGTCCAACTGTTTGGAACACCTGGTCCCAGAGGATTATTTTGATCATTTGCTGTGAAGAATGTTGTGTTTGCAAGCAGTTGCCTAAGAACATGTTAAAAAGTGCTGAATGTTTGCTTGAACGGTATTCCCAAGCTCTCACTGAGCTATAGGTAAATAAAACTGTGTGAATTCATGACATTATCCTTGCATTATAACTAAGGAGCATAAAATTAAGACACTAACTTCTGTGCCATGTAGTCCATTTAAGGTAAACCTGTGGTTGCAGAGGAAGAAGTTCAAGACCCAGTGTGCCACCAAGTCACATACTGTTAGGCTTCCCAAAAGGACTGGGAAACTTTTAAATGGTCTCTTTCAAAGGATGCCACTAATGGAGACTAGGCACTCTAATATTTCTAGGTTACTCCTTTGACAATAAGCCTTTTCATGTCTCTGTGCTACAGTGCCAGTTGAGAAGTGCCAACACAAGTATCCCCAATGGCTAGACAGCCCACGTACTGTTGTTGCTAAATTCCTTGGCATATTTGCTGTGTCTGGTGGAGTTTGATGCTTGCTCAGTGTTGATTACTTAGTGCTGGGTTCCTGGTTTACAGGTGGAAAATCATAGACGTGTTTAGATATACTAGGTACTATTTGGTGTCAACGTCTTAATTCCAGTGAGCACAATGTGGATTTCAACCACTCCCTAAATGAGCCTCTCTAAAATTCAATTTCTTTTGAGTTTCTCTGTTATCTTCTAGTGACTTGATATTAACACGTAGGATTTCAATATCAACTTTGCTCATGGAAAATGAAATGTTATCATAACAGACATTTACATAGAGCCCCAAGATCTCTCAAATGCAGTACTAATACTATGTAGTAGTTACCTCTGCTGGAGGCCTAATGAAAAGAGAGTGCCTGTTGAAAATATCACATTTTGAAAGTAAAAAGTCAGATAACAGGACCCTTCACCTGAATGTTTATTACAACTCTTTTGTTACTTCACTTATTGTCATTTAGTTTGCAAGAAGGCTCTGCTGCTTCTCAAAAGCTACTAAATATGCTAATCAAGGCTAAGAAATGCGTCACCAACCTGTTGACTGTAAACCTTCAAGAGTTGTTGTACTACTTGTGTTTTAATGTTCATCTGCTGTAATGATCTGTACCCATACACAGATCGCAGAGTACCTACAAGTACAAATATGCAAAACTCAGTACCTACCAAGTCTCTGAATTTGGTTCTTTGCATTCTGTCCTTGTTTCATCTACCTCACACTGGTTTTGCTACCACTTGAAGTATTTCAGACAATCACTGTAATACTGTCTGTTTTGAATAAAAAGTAACATTTTCAGCTAATTAAAGGCTAAGAGAGAACCTTCCAAAGTGAGTATCTTCTCAAACGTTGTAAATTTGCTAATGCATTTCCTGCATAGACTGTGACACTTACTCATTTGTGTCACTTTTTTATTCTGTTTCACCTAGAAAATACTTTCCCTTGAAAAAGAAAAACATCACCATCGTCTTAAAGAGAAGGACAAAGAAATCCAAAACTTGAAAGACAAGCTTAGATCCAAACTCAAGAATACTGAAGTCTCCTTGTTACAAAGTCAACTAGAGGAAAAAACAAAGGAAGCAGAAAGGCAAGAACAGTTATTTCGTTCTCTGTCGCAAGAAATGAACCAGTTAAAATGCAGTTTATCCACTGTTACTACAAAATATTCTGAGCTTGAAAACAGAGCCGGTACTTCTCAGGCATCCCAGGTAAGCACTGAAGAAACACTGTAATTGCAAATTAATTTGCAATCTGTACCCACTAAGCACCAATATCTGTTGTAAGAAGATTAAAAATCCATCCTATTTAAAAAGTAGAATGGTAAGAAGGGCTTCTACAGGTATGTCAACCAGAAAGGGAAGCGTACCCCCTGATAAGCAAGATTGGCAAACTGGTAACAACAGACAGAGAGAAAGCTGACGTACTCGACTTCTTTGCCTCAGCCTTCGCTGGCACTCTGTCCTCTCACACCTCTCAAGTGAATGGACCACAAGATAGGGACAGGGGTGCAGAGTCCCTCCCACTGTAGGAGAAGGTGGTTTGTGACCACCTGAGGAACTGAACATATGGAAGTCCATAGGACCTGATGAGAGGCATCCCAGAGTCTGAAGGGAATTGGCTGATGTGGCATAATGAGTAGTTTCTCTCATTTAAAATGGTTAATGGGTGTGGTGGAGCTACTTGGCAGTATTTACAAGTGTGTTTAGTTTTCTGCAGTTTGTCCACTCTGCCTGCTTTAATGTTCTGTGGAAAATGCAGTAGTGTCTCAGCAAGGGACACGGGAAGGTGGTCCCTGTAAGTCTTTTCCAGCTTTTGACCTGCAGATGGTGCTGGGTCCCCATGCTCGACAGGGAAGCCAAGTAATTTCTAGAAATCCAGTTTCAGCAAAATACATAGCAAAATATCTTTTGATGATAATGCATATATGTAACTCTTAATGCATTATCTTGGGAAATATCTCTTCAAATGCAATGTGTTTATTTTCAGTTTCAAGATACTTCAAACTTTGTTAGATAACTTAAAATGTATGTTAATTCAATGGATTTCCATGATCTTTTTGTCAGTGAACTACCAAAATATCTTTTAGTTTAGAATCAGAATTTTCTTTTAAAATTTTTTACTGATTCATCAATAGAGGTCAAAATTTGACTGATGTTTTGACTTGGATGTCTTGGAAAACTTGGTAACAAGTCTGCTAATGCTGCTTGAAACTGCTAGGTGGCATATGAGCAGCAGGTATACTTTGAAATGGAAACAATGGTTGTATGATACAATTTTGGGAAAGATTTTAGACAGTTCTAATGATCATGGGAATAATCTGAAAATTGTAGTGTCTCTACATATTATTTTTATTAAGAAGTCATGAAGTTTAATTCCATTCAAAGATCTGTATTTTTTTCAGCTATCAAGCTTGTTCTAAATCACGTTCCAAAACAAAAAAAAAACACCACCCACACATGAAAACTTTGGAAAAACGTAGCATGGATTTGGGTAGTAATCTACACATTTATTTCCTTAAAGTTCCCTCTGACTTTATATCTACGCGGTTTCAAAAAGCTTTCTATCATGCAGTGAATAAACACCAGATTATGAAAGAAACACAACTGTTGAGCTGCTGTTTAGTGTCAGATGGGTCTAAAGAACTGTGACTTGTACTTCAAGCACTCTACTGTAGATCTCGGAAAGCCAATCAGTGTGTCCTTATGGTTCCGGACAGGGTTGCACGGTTTCCCAGATGTTTATAATACTCCTGTTATTCCAACAATGTTGTCAAGGTCTCTGGCCTTCCCCAACAACTCCTATAAGTCTAGCTCATCGTCAAACGTACAAGGGTATGAAAATGGAACAAACACCTTCTTTGTGTATTTACATAATACCCTAAATACATTCACTTTTCAGAAGTTCTCCTGTGCCCTTCAGGTCTTCCAGGATAGCAGTTCAGCAGAAGGCACAAGATATTGTTAGGAAATCTTTTAATGTGAGAGAGTTATAGAATAAATTAAATATAGGTCTGTCCTGTATCTTCCAGGAGATTTTATTTGAAATCTATGAAATGTTTTTCTATAAAACTGAGTCCTTGGTTTTACTTTGTTTGTTGTTTTACAAACAAACCAACAAACAGAAACCAAACCACAAAATATAAAGATCTGTAAACACGAAAGGCAGAGGTATGCATCTGATTTCCATTTAAAAAATATTCTTATTCTACTATGTGAGATTAATAATGATACAGGAGTATCTTTATGGTTTCAGCGACTTATTTTAAAGAACACTAACAGGTTCTTCTTTGCCTGTAGGAAGCTCTAACAAACAGCGTCACGTTACCAACTAGTCTTCATGAAGTTGAAAACCAACTGAAAGATGTAAGTTTCATGTGCAACACTGAAAGTATAAATCATCTGTATCAAGATGCATAAGAATGCAAATTATCACTATGTATGTTTTTGGGTAGTATGGGACCACAGCGAATGCTTCCCTCTAAAATATAGTATTGTGACAAGAAAATAATTTAAATTTTAAAAAACCCCAACTATTTCCACCATCTTTAGAAAACCTTGCTTGGAACATCAGAACAAAGTGGTTGCTGAGAGAACCGAAGCCCCAGTTAACCTGGTCTGACCTTGGAGCTGACACTGCCTGGGATAACATGAGGTTGGATTAGAAACCTCCCGAGGTCCCTTCCAACCTGAATAATTCTATGATCCAATCAGATACAAAATCCATGCCTTGTTCTTACAAACTTTAAGTTGCAAGGACAGAATGTTTATTTATTCCATTTTCAAGATCTTTTATTTTATATTTGAGATTGGAAGGTTAATTCTTCAAAATCTGGGCAAGACTCATTAAAGCCTTTGTTTTACGTCATTTTCCCATTCCAAGAAATAAGCCAATCATTGTTTAATACTGCTGCAATTTTAACTTGTGCTCAACAGCCTGACTTACCTTTCCAAATGAAGATGCGTTTTATTTATTGTACAGAGGTTACTACAGTTTGCAGCAGAATGAACTAGCTTATCTTTAAACTCTATAATGTATAACTTTAACATTAAAATGACTGATACTTTTTAAAATCTGATCAATTACTAGAGGCTTTTTTGTTGTTCTTCCTTTCCTTTTCATGAAGGCTCTTGAGAAAAACCAACAGTGGCTACTGTATGACCAGCAACGTGAAGCGTATGTCAGGGGGCTGCTTGGAAGGATCTTTGAACTTGAAAAGAAGTCCGAAATAGTTAGCCAACAAGAATCTAAAGAATTAAATTCAGAAGGTATCATCTTGATATTTTTTTTTCCCCCCCACAAGTGACCCAAACCTTAATTATCCATAGAATAAGTTTTGTGAAAACAAATAAGATCAAGACTTTTTTCTCAACATCTTGGTTTCTTAATGGTAAAACTTGGTGAAGTACAATTAAACTTCCTGTCATCTAACTACATTACTTGATCAACAGTATTTCATATTCTTATCTACTTCAAAGCCTTGACACTCTATTAGCAACCTCTCTGTTTGCAGAAAGTGTTGAAGCAAATATGTGTATGTCTCCCATCCTTCAAAGTACACTTTCGACCTGCGTGACGGATGCTTTAAGGATTTATTTGCTAGGCGTGAATCAGGGGGTTAATTCTTTTTCAAAATAAATATTAGAAAAATGACTCAAGACTGCCACATTCTTTACTCCCCTGAACAGCTCTTACAGGGCATGAAAAGCTGTGGCAGGTTTTGGCACCTATCCAAACCACTATTTTGCAATATTGATCTGGCCACCTCTAGCCACTTCTGCGCTGTGTAGCTCCTCAGCAATGAGCACCCTCTCAGTACCATGCATTCAGACTGACCCGAGTTGTGCTTCATCAGCATGTGGAATAAAATTAAAATCACACTGAACACAAGAACCCGAAGGAGTTGGTTTGCTTTTCCTATTATCAAATTATTAATATCATATATGCTACAACTGACCTGCAAGGTAAATTCACTAAATAGAGCTAGCATCATCTGTAGTAAGAGTGTGCCCTCAGATACTTACCACTTAGCAATTCATGTGAAGTGGCTTGGTTTCTGTTGAGTCTTTATGGAAATCAGTAAAAACTTGCCTTATTTGGTTCTGTCTAGAAATGTAGGACTAGTATTTTAGAGGGAGGCAGACTGAAGTAGCTCACCACAAAGCGTAACTCAGTTACTGCAGTCCAAGCTCTGTCATCAGAGCAGCCAGAAGACTAGGATTACGGGTATAAGAAAGTTCCCCTCTTCGAGCAGCTAGACAGTAGCAAAGATCCAGGTTTCTAAGAACCCAGCCATGCAAGTTGAAATTAGATATGGCAACTTTTTCCAAGGAAAAACTTTGTATCTCTGACACTTCACCACCCCATAAAGGAGTATTGCTAATGAGAAGGTAATGCTTAGCTCAGAGTTGAGGGGAGGGAGAACAGTCAAGCAAGAAAGTTTTTCCTCAGTAAATTAACAGTAGCAAAGATCCAGGTTTCTAAGAACCCAGCCATGCAAGTTGAAATTAGATATGGCAACTTTTTCCAAGGAAAAACTTTGTATCTCTGACACTTCACCACCCCATAAAGGAGTATTGCTAATGAGAAGGTAATGCTTAGCTCAGAGTTGAGGGGAGGGAGAACAGTCAAGCAAGAAAGTTTTTCCTCAGTAAATTACACTTTAAAGAATGAGAGGAAGTTTTTTTTTAAAGTATCAAAGTCAAGACACTTACAGTGCTAAAAATCAGCAAAACCTATGAAATCCTGCATTTCTTGTTCTGCTTTTAGGCATATCTTGTATTGCTGCTGAATTTCTGCAGTCTGCCTCTTTTTTTTTTTTCTTACTTACTTACTAAACTTCTCTTAGCTCAACAAGCAGAAATTTTTCAAACTCTGGTTTAAGTAATAGTCACTAGCCAAGAAGCAGGCATTTTCGTATTAAAAAATCCCTATCCTAGTCCCTCTTATTTGTAGTTTAGAAGTAACTGATGGAATACAGTTTGAAGAAGGTAATCTGCAAAAGCCGATGGATAGTGTGGCTTTGGTCAGCAATGGTGAAGTAGAGCCCATCAGATCGCCGGGGTATCTCTGGGGAGGCAGTAATGCCAGAACCTTGGCTAAGGAGCCTGTATCTGGAAGTGAGAATCTAGTGTCTTTGGGCCCATGTAAGAACCACGGGTCCTGGTGCTTGTGTAGTCAGGGCAAATGAGATAATACTGCTGTAAGGGTTAGTGAAGGAACTGGCTATAGCACAGCAAACTCTACACAAGCCAAGCTACAGTTTTCCAGTAACTATATTGGGCAGGAGACTTTACTATATTTAGAAGCGTAGAAAGCTGTTTTACCTAAAATTTGGTGCCAGTCTGAGCTGTGTAATAGCCTTAAAGTGCTGTCAAGGCTTTGGTGTTCTGATTTTTTTTAGTGATTTTCCCCCCCATGCTATCTCAATTATTTTTCATTCATTAAGGTCATCTACAAGAGGAAAAGCAAAAATATTATGACCAGCTGTTACTAACTGCTAAGAGTGATCTTGAGACTGAAAGACGCACTGTAATCCAGCTGAGAGCTGAACTTAACGAATTCAAAAAGAAGTATGAAGAAACACAAAAAGAAATAACGAGTTTAAATGTCTTATTGCAGTCGCAACAGGCTGCTGAAATGAAGATCCTAGAAAATGAAAATAAAATGAAAGGAGAGAAAATGCAAAGACTAAACCAAGAAAATGAAACTATTAAAGGACAGCTCAGAGAGGAAAAGAAAAAGTCTGAGGAACTCTTACATCAGGTAAGTGGATGTGTTTGGAGGTTTAATATCATCAGCGAAGAACCAAAAGAGCTGAAAAGTCATACTTAATCAGAAAGGACCGTCATTCGCTCTGGTAACTGTTCTTTACATAAAGCTAGACTCATGTTCTTGTGCTTAAAACTGAATTCTTTCTTTAACATATTGGTTTGAATCAAAATCCAAACTTCTGTGAAATTTCCTTGTTTAAACAAGGAACTTATTTGTTCACTTATTCCCTGGTCTTGTGGGACACAAGAGGGAGAAGTGAGAGAATACTTAATTGATTCTAATCTAGTTTGTCCTCAAGGTTCATAGTAAATGAGGACAGGAAAGGTAAAAGTTCAAGTCCATACAGGCTATTTTATCATGTGAATCATAGAATCATGGAATGGTTTGGGTTGGAAGGGACCTTAAAGATCATCTAGTTCCAACCCCCCTGCCATGGGCAGGGACACCTTCCACTACACCAGGTTGGTCAAAGCCTCGTCCAGCCTGGCCTTGTGTTCCTAACTCTGGAATGTTGCCGGAGAAGCAGCTGTGTCCCTGGATAGTGTCCCCAGCCAGCCATTGTGGCCGTACAGCTGGGTGTGTTTTCTTTGGTGTTTACATTCAGATGAGTTCCTGCCTCTGGTTCTCTATCTGATACCAGGGATAAGAGCTATGCAGGCACCTGCCTGCTAGAAAGAAGATTTTGTCTGCATCCTAGCAATCCCCTAGGAAACGTTGGTTTGGTATTTTTGAACTACAGCATCTTTCTGCATTCCCCCTGCTCAGTGCAGTAATAGTTCCCTGGGGCTTTCCCCAGAGAACTAGAGATATTTGAATGGGGTTTAGTTGTTGCATAACAGGCATACATTGTTCTGCTGGAGCGTAAGTCTGCTTCTATCTCTTTTTAGATTCATTTGTTGTTGAGCTTATTAACTGTTGTATATGGAAGTTCTTTATTACAAATGTTTTTCTGACTTGTAGGTGCAACTTCTTCGTAAATCATTGCTCAAACAGGATGAAGAACATGCTAGGATAGCTTTGTTGGAACAACAGGTACTAAATAAGCTAAATGCTGATATTTTATATGTATTATGGATGTGGGCTTTCTAGACCAACTTTTCAAATTTAAGAATGAGTATTATTACAGAATCACAGAATCATAG